TAATATTTTGTACCTCAGACTAGTCATCATCTTCTCTGTTAGTCTGGGATTCTCAGAGGCTACAGCTGCTTTTGGGGGAGGAGATCCTGATGGTTTTAGATGGTTTGGTTAGTTGGAGTTTGGTGATAAAAAGGGCAAAACTAAGGGTTAGATTTTCCATGAACCAGCTAGCTTCACACGGGCTGAAGGGCTTTGACCCCATCAAGGTCTAACATTTTTCAAAAACATTTCCCTGGTCTCAAGGGAGAAAAAACAAGGGAGTGTGGTGACTTTCTCAGTACCCCTGCCCCTCTCTCCACACGGCAGGAAACCTCAAAGTTCATGTCCAATAGCAATACCTAACATGCAACATAGCACATCATTCTCATGATATTACGCCCGTTAGTTCAATGAATACCTCCTGAATGCTAATTATGGGCCAGGAGATGCGTTAAGTGCTGACAGTATAAATGATGAAAACAACACAGTCTCTACCAGAGGGTTATAATTATATCAGTATTGTTTTGTTTTATAAGTTGGGTGGTAGGTATTTAACCCTTATTTTTTGCACCTCTGGATTACTTAATAACAAAAAGTTAACCAACAACAGACAACTTAGTCTCTGCCTTTCTTAAGTTTACGATGTTGTTTCAATACAATGGTGGTGTGTGCAACCACTGAGTGCTATAGAAACATGAAGGGATGTTTCTCATTCCTTGGGGTGACAGTAGATCAATAAAGATTTCCTAGAGACATAACACCCAAAATAAGTCTTTTAATGTGGGTAAAAGTTAATCTAGACAAAGAAGGAGAAGAGCATGAGGTTTAAAAGAAACCATGAGTAAGTAAGGATGTCAGGAAACAGCACAGCATGTTATCTCAAGGAGTTAGGAATTACTAGATCACAGTGAGGGGAGTGAGGTTAGCAAAAAGGGAAGGAAGCAGGCCAAAGACACTTTTTTTCTGTACAAAAGGATTTTATCCTGCACTCAGTTAGAACTAATGAAGAAATTATAGTTTCGATAGACTCTTTTGGAAGCAGTGAGGAGAATGGATTAGAGGGGCAGTTGCCTGGGAGGTAGGGCGATGAGTTAAGAAGTATCTACATTTTTTGAAGCAAAAGATGAAAAGATCAGTGGTAGCCATAATAAAGAATTTGGAAATGGTTAAGGGGTAAAATTGGTGGCAATTGATTATCTCTTGGCAATAGGTGGTGAGGCAGAGCTTAGCAATGTAGGAGAATGTAAAGAGACATAGTCTCAAACAACTTGTGTGAGAATTTAGTACCACATGAAGAAAAGAAAAGGCTGATTACTTAAGCATCTTTTTGAATTACCCTTTTGGCATTTCTTTTTGGCAGTTGGAAAACCAATGAGGTGCTGGTTTAAATTTCCACTGTCTGTGGTTTGAGAACACATCTAGCAAACAGATCCACTGAGACCACGAAGTATGCTTAGATCTAGTGCATGCATGACAGGTTCTCTTTTGCCCCACACTTTGTCATTTTTCCTTTCAGGGAAACTGAGCCAGAACTCAGCATATGTAAAGCATAGATGTCCCATCAGGAAATCCAGTTCCAGATGCTCACGGGAGAAGAACAATCCAGGCTGGTTACAAATATTTCTGGACTCCACATTCTCATGTGATATGTGCAGATCACTCACATGTCAATCCTGGATCTAAGCCTAAAACAACTGGAAGATGAGGTTATCTTTTAATGTTCTATATACCAAGAAGAGATTTGGTCTAAATATATAAAGGATACTCTGGTGCAGAGTTGGAGGGGCATATGACTTTACAAGAGAGGGGACCCAATAAACTATTCCAGTAGACTACATAGAGGCTATGTGATACTCATTTTGGAGCACAGCACCTACTGACTGGAACATGGGAGTTTAATAAGGTTTTAAATATATGAACAGATGGAAAATGGTCTGGTCTGGGCAAGGGAGAAGCAAAAGGAAAATCCCAAAAAGAAAGCAAAAGGAACATTTTAAAGTAAAATGAAGTATGAAATCTGGCAGAGTTAGATGAGAAAGAGACGCCACACCTGGCACAGACTTCTTAGCTGGGACTGCAGTAAAATGGGCTTTCTGGAATGCTGGAAAGCTGGAGACAGGTGTCCAGTACCAGAAAGCCACGGAATGATTCTATTTTCTCCCTCTAGAGTAGGATGGGGCCTTGATGATGCTGATTTTGGTTTAAGGACCAAGAGAGAACAAATTTTGTAAGAATTTTAAAAATACCTGGGTTTAATGGCCAGTGTACATTCTCCAGGAATTATTACACAGGCAATAAGGAGAAAGCAAGAATTGAACTTTTCAGATACAGCAAGGGCCAACATTTCATGCATAGCTTCACTGGCAGCTGCATGGCCCCCCATTAAGGACACTGGCAGCAAAGAGAAGTGACTCAAAGATATGCTTTATTTGCTCTGATCTCGGTAGCGATTCTGCTTCCTATACAATTATGTATCTTTGCTAATTAAGCTGGGAATTTAACTTTTCAACTTCATGTGTAGGATTTCTTCCTATCAATCTGTAACCCACCTGAAATGCAATTGGCATAATGATGGGTTCAGAAACATTTGGTTGGTGTCAGAAGTGGGATTTATGAGATGAATTACCATCATGTTTTGATTTTGGAAATGGTGTCAGGAATCCAAGGGATAAAACAGTGAACTAAAGAAGTGTGGGGGGAAACCAGATAACCTATGGTGTGAGATCATTAGGTCATTGAGGAAGATGTTTTTGGGGGAGAGTTGAATCAGTGGAATTCACTCACTGTACCCTTATCTCCAACCTAACAGGACTTGTAGATAACTAGAGAGGGGTGAGCTGATGGCAAGATAGCCTGATGTACAGTTTCCTAGCCTCTACTGTGTTATCCAAGAATGGAGTGATTGCACAACCCCATAAAATTGAAAAACTAAGGAAGGTTCTAAGGAACCCCTGTAGCTCTGCCTAGACTGGCAGTCAGTTAACCTCTAGACAGAAATTATTTATTTGACAGGGAAAATTAGAACTAAGATATGCTATATTCTCCCTGTCAAAATGGTTGAGAAAAAAGGGGAGGAAAATTAGAAAAGTATTACTTATAATTGTATCTCTATTTTAACATGTGCATGTAAATCTTGTTTTTATGTAAAAGCTTAAAAGGGAAATATGAGCTTGAAACTCCATGATTTTGGAGCAGATTGATTGCATTAAGTTTTCACTGGGCAGGGCTTCAGAAATTCATCTGAACTTCAAAAACATTGTTTTCTAAATGAAAGATTTAAAATACTTAATAGAGGAATAAAACTTCAATTGGTAAAAGTATAACATCTTCTGTGTCTCAGACATTATTTTAGGAGAAGGTGACCTGGCTGGATTGGAGCCAATTGATATACAGGATGAGGCTGGCAATATGCCTGGCATCTACAAAGCTGTAAGTCTTTGGGAGCACAATTTTACCCTTTTTGATGGTTTTAGGAAATAGACTTTAGGGCACAGTTACAGGGTGGGAGGGTGGTTGGACCACTCTCTCCTTATTTAGTAAAATAATAAAAGATGAGGCAATGTTGTAGGTGAAATACTGTTGTAGAAGGTGGTGTGCTGTTAAAAAGACAGTATTTAGGAGGGGAAAAATGTATTGGATTGGAGGAGAAAAGCTATAAGAGTTAATAGGCAAACTCCTGGATAACTTAAATAGGGCATGTTGGGAAAAAATTGAGAGTGTGGGATTAGTCTAATGCTTGAAGCCAGCACAGTAAGGAACCTGGGACTCTGGTCTTCATCAGAAGCAAATCAAAGTTTGTTCACAGAGCCTGCTAGTGCATGATCTGGACCAGGGACCAGTGGCTCTTCATGGAAGGGATAGTAAAATGGCCTGGAGCAGCAGGGCACACAATTTGAAGCAGAAGATGATTCCAAAGCAGTGAAGTTCCTAGGGATTGCACGGCAGGAGCCATCCTGAAATGTATTTTATATGACATGGAATAGACTATGAAGTATATGGTGATCATGGTCCTTGAACTTTACAAACTAAAAGGTGTTTAGTCAAGGAGCCAGGGGGTGGAAAATTATGCTTTCTGAAATGACGAAAAGCTGAAGGCAGAAATCTTGTTCAGGAACATCTGTTCACTGACTATTTTTTTAACCCAGATGAAAAGGTGGTTTTGCAGATGCTGAATTTGGTTTAAGAGCCAGGAGAGCATAACTTTTTTTTAACTAATATAAATATAAATAGATACACACACCCCACATTTTTGAAAATGCACAATTTATGTACCATATTGTCTTGTCTTCTTGGGTATATATATTTATATATATTTTGGGTATGTTTATATATATATAAAACTTTTTTCTAGAATGGTTGACATAAGTCCTGAATCCCTAAATAAATAAGGATAGTAAAGCATGAAGAGTTGAACTTTCCATTGAAGTCCTATCTTGCACCGAGAGTGTCACAGGGCAGTGGACAGCCCCTGTAAAGTTCCTTGGAAACCAAGGAAAACCATGTGGAGGTATTCTACATCTGTTCCTGTTTCCACTTTGCTTCCATAAAGTTCTGAATCCTTCATCAATTAAATTGGCAACCTAGACTTTCCCTATTGTGTAAGTTTTGTGTATGCACGTTCTCTGTGTGTATCTTCCTGCTAACACCTAACCTACCTGAAATACTGCACACATTCTAGTTTCTCTCCATCTTGGTTATGGGAAGGGAGCAGCCCCTTGTCTCTGGGCTCAGAAGATCAGCAGGTCCTTAACCTGCTCTTGCTCCTATTATCAGATCTAGTCCCACTAAGAAAGCCTCAAGATTATTGTCTGTTTTGCAATGAAAGGAAAACAAAAGAGCTAGGATAGCAAGCCCAGCACCAACCCAAGAAGGACCTTGATGAACCAGTTCTCCACTGTATCAGTTTTTACCCTCATTTCTGTGACCTAGCTCTTCTGACCTTGGACCAAATCTCCATCTTGGAATGACTCTGACTCCAGGGGGAATCTATTAGAGACATCCAAGTGCAAAGAGTCTCTTACCAGATGCCAAGAGATCATTGATGAGCACAAGGAACTTTTCATCAGCCACTTGGGCATCAGTCATGAGAAACACTGTGCTGAGGTTCTTTACCCCGGCTTTTAGGCACAAGCTGGCCAGGTCCACCTGCACAAACAATCAATATTAGATATCTTTGAGAAGAGGGCCTTCTTGAAAGAGATCTTCACACACTCCTTAGGAATGGGACCATTTTCTTATCTACTTCTATGGGAAACAAAGCAAGACAGTAATAGGAGGTAGTGAAGAGTGCTATCTTGCACTGACAGGCAGGAAAATATGCCTCCTTCAGGCTTCGATCTTAATAGTGGTGGGCAAGTAAAATTAAATAGTGATGATCTTTAATTCATACAACCACTGTGGCCCTTGTATTAGCTTCTAGAACTCCTGCTTTGTGCAAAGAGGTAATAGCTTTCCAAAGGACAGAGGTGGTCTCCTGTTTATCTGTGCTACCTATATCATCATAGAAGTGAATGACTTGCCCCAGGAGGCAAGCAATTGCTCTTAATCTTGACAGAAGAGTCATGTACTTGGAGCTACCGGCCTAGGGGATGAATACATCTTATGCCAGCAGTGTCTTGTGTTGTTATGACTAGCTCTAGCAAAAGACTTGTGTTGGAAAAAAAATACATTGGGGAAAACACACACACACACACACACACGTGTGCGTACAATCACCTGGTAGGAAATTACATCCATTCAAAACTGCAAGTGGACGAAGTTTTGGGCTAGGATGCCAAGCCCTGAATTTTTCCAGCTTAGTCAGTCTTGGTTCTTTTGTTGTATCCTTTGCAGAGCTCAGCCATCAGTCCTCAGTCTTGCTCTTCTCTCTCTCTTGCACCACTCAAAGCTCATTCTCTAACAGCCTCATGCTTTTCCTTAGAGCAGAGCTTCCTTCGTGTCCAGATAATTCCCTTTTAAAGTTAATAAACTTCCTTTGAGATCAATGGTTCTCAACCTTATGCATTTACAGAATTACCTAAGACAATGTTTTTCAACTCTCATTAGAATCATCTGGGGGATGCTTTGAAATGTCCTGATGCTCAGGCCACTCCCTAGACTTTTAAGTCAGAATTTCTAGGGGGTGGGATACAGGCATCAGCATATTGGAAAGGGCTTCCAGTATATAGCCAAGGTCGAGAACCACTGTCTTGGATCATTCTGTAAATGCATAATTCTCATCTGCACTATCTTGTTTTCTCCTTTTTTGGAAATGCTAAAGATTGACCGACTGTGAACCTCATGTAAGACCTTGGATTCAGCCAATCACCAAGAGGCTAAGCTGTGGCTTCAGAGCAACAGTGAGCATCACTGGCTGAGAGATTAGGAAGGTGGTGGGTACGTCTGGCTCAGTGCTGGCTGGAATTCTCTCAGAGACAGTAAGCGCAGCCTCCTGACGGAAACTACATCATAACTCCCTACCATGCCTCTATCGTGGCCACGGAGAAAAGAGAGGAAGTTGGACAAAGTGACCTTTGGAAAGTGTATATAATGCCTTTCTCCACTTTCCAGAATGTGCATTATCTTTTAATATATGAATTCCTTATAAAACTTGGGCAGACTGCCCAAATTCCTCCTAAGTTTACTAGAGCTGCTGGAGAGGAGGGTGCTGAATTGGAGATAGATGTGCTTCCGATGTGGGTGAGAGCTGAGGCTCCAGAGACGTAACTAAAGCAGCTGACGTCTCACAAATGCAGACCTTGGGAAGGACCCTGTCCTCAGCCTGAGTCTAATGAGAAAACAGCCCCTCATGTTGCCAGCCCAGAATCTAAGAAGAAAATGGAGGGACAATTAAGGGGAAGTTTTGGGCAAGGGAACTGAAGAGCTGATGAAGAGTGACAGGGAGTTGTGGGTAGCTGGAGAGAGGCTGAGTCTCTTCCCACAGCCGCCAGCCTTCTTACCTTGAAGTCAGGGATCTGGTAGCCCTTCCGCAGAGTGATCTGGAATACATCCATGGAGCTGATGAAAGCCGCCAGCCTTGTCAGACTCTGCTTGCCGCTCCCACCTACACCAACCAGCAAAGCGTTTCCCCGCGGGGACTCCAAGATGCGATTGATACGGCAGCTACAGAGAAGGAGGCGGAGCATATGGCTTCGGTCAGACTTTCCTCTGTGAGGAGTATGCATAATGGTTCAAGTGAGAACGAACGCCCTCCTTGGAGGCACATCTTGGGCTCAGCTGTGGGAAACTTGAATTAAATTGTACCCAAACCTGGCCTCAGCTTCTTGCCCAAGTAGATTGAAGTCACTGCTGCTTTGCTGTAAGCCGAAGCCTCTGGTGAATTGGCGGCAGTGGAGGAAGAGCTCGCGGCAGCCAGGCAGGATTGGAGAGCGAGTGTGGTGGCAAGGGGAAGGGCACAGGGCCTACCCTCTGTCTCCTCCCCAGCCAAGCTTGACTCTGCCGCATCTCCCCACTTCACTTTGCCTCACATATTTGTGGTTTTAGGCAAGAGGAAGGGACAGAAAAAAGAGAAAAGTAGAAATCATACAATTAGAAAAAAAAAATCCAGGCAAGGCTAGAGGACAAGCAGGAACAGAACAGCTCGTTCTCAGGAAAGAAGTAGCAAAATTAGAGTCAGCAGAATAGCAGAGAGCCCTGACACAGCTCTTGTCTCTCCTCTTTTATCTTTCCTGGATGTTGATGCCCTCGTAATGAATATTTGTGGATCCTTAGTGTCAACCTACAGGACACCCACTTCCTTAGCTTCTGGATTCTTCCCTTTGCAGCTGTACTTACCACTCTCAATACCCACACTCCCACCCCAGAAATGGGGGAAGATTCCCGGGCCCTGGGCTTAGACCACGCCCTCCAGAGGACCCCGCTCCTCCCGCCCCTCCAGGCCTTCCTCAAATGCTGCTCTTCCATCAAGCTGTTCACGGCCCCTCCTCCAGGATACACAGCCAATCTTTTCTGACTTCCCATCAGCACTATGTATATACCTTATGTAAGGTACCTACATTCTTTATAAAAATAACTCCTACTTCCTTTTCTTTTCTCATCCTAAAAACAATGACTATTCATTGTACGAAATGCATAAAATACAGAAAAAAAACCCAATTCTACTATCTAGCAATAAACGCTACTGACATTAATTATATGTCTTCCTGGACTTTTTTCTGGTGTCTGTCTGGATAAGTATATATTTATGTGTATATACATTTAGTACATCTAAAAACAATATATTTCTATCCTGTAAATTTTCAAAATTGGGTTCACCTTGTATACTGAACATTATGCTTTGAAACCATTTTTCATGTAGCAATACACTGTGATTGTTTCCCTATGCCACTCAGTAATCTGCTAAACCATGTCTTTAATGGTGGAATGATATTCCATTGTATAGAAGTAAGTTCCTCATCTGCAATAGCCTACTGTTGGATATTTAGGTTGTTCTCAACACTTTCTAGCCATAAATAATTCCATATAAATATTTTTAGTTTATATCTCTAATTATATCCATAGGATAGGTTCCTAGAAGTAAAATTAAATTGCTGAGTCAAACAGTAAGACAATTTTTACGGCTATTGATACATACTGAAAAATTAGTCCCCAGATTGGTGGCACCAATTTGTACTCTTATTGGGTAGAATTGATCAAAAAGTGAATCTATTATATTGTAGGATGAGAATATGTTAGATTATATTAGTTGAATTAGAATGTGTTGTCAGTGAATTTGGGGGTACATAACACAGTGATCAAGCCACTGTGGAGAAATGGATGGGATAAGGAGGGAGAAACAACAGGTGTTGGTGATCTTGGGATCCAAAGAATGTGTAGAACACGAGCTCAGGTAAAGTCCAACCAAAGAGAGCAGAGGATACATCCGAGACTGAATTGCACAGGCTACAATCCTGTGTTCCTGTCTTGTGTTACCGATATTATAAAGAGAAATGCCATATTCAAATTAAGTAATGGTAATTATGGGAGGAGCAAGTAGCTAACCTCAATTTGGAGGAAGGGCTGGGGAAGTTTTGGTGGGTGGGGTTTGACACGTCAACAAAATACGAGCACGTATGAGTTTAAAGGGTTCAAGAGTTTCTGTGGTTCGAATTTTCTTATTACTGCAAATTTCTTGCATATACTGATGATTTGGTCATAATTACCATCAATAAACTAAATGTTTATAGGTCCTTCTTGCCTCTTCTCTCCTAAGGGATGTGTTTGGTACTTGAAAGGAAACCCCAGCAGAAACGTAGGTGAGTCAACAAGGCCCACCGCCAGCGGCTAGGAGAGTCTGGCCCCCACCCTTGCTGACACGGGATCTTAATATATTTTTAAAAATTCTTTGCCAATTTAATGGTTGAAAATATTATGGTTTTAAATTTTATTTCTTTGATTTCTAGGCAATTGAACATTTTTCTTATTAATCATTATATATTTTTTCTTTTGTGGATTTCCTTGTCATGCCCATTGCTTACTTCTCAATTGAAGTGTTCTTCTAGATTTGTAAGACTCCTTTATGTATGTTTCAAAATATCCCCCTAATTTGTTGCTTTTATCATTTAGTTTTAATGTGTTTCAGATGTATAGAAATTTTTAGCTTTTTGGACTTAAAGTTGTGGGTCACTAAATTTACGTAGTTAAAATTTATCTTTGTAAATATTAAGGAGTTATTTGGTGACCTATATGTAGTTCTTTTATGATTTTACTTTTTCTCTTTACAATTATTTGATTGTGATGCTTATACTCTGTCTTGTATCAGATTCACACTTCTCTAGCTCTCTTATTAAAACATAGTTTCTAGACATCTGAAGAGTGTGTATACTCATCTTGCACAGTGCCAGCACACTGAAGATATTCAATAAATTTTTCTTAAATTAACAGAAGAACCCATTCCTTATACTCGGCATCACATTTGGGGTGCTGTAAGCAATCATTCTTTATGCTAAGTGCAAGGAATCATCTGTTTTGGTCTTAAAAGGAGGGGGCAGGGATGGATTAATGGAGGAGAGAGGCAAGCATGCAGGAGAAGCCCAACTGGGCTGTCTGGGCCGCCTGACACCCAGCTCTATTCTGGAAGGCCTGAGCTCAGCTTTGCATGGTCCATGCTATTCAATATCTAAATGGGAAATGCATCATTAGCGATGAAGTTTCCAAAGAAGAATGGCTACGTCTGCAACTGTCAGCATTAGACTCCAGCTGGGGACTCATTAACAACCTCTGACGAGGGCAAAGGACTTTGCATTTAAATTACAAAATTTAAAAAGAAGATCAATATTCTAAAGGGCTCCTGGGCCAGAAAACCAAGGCAGTCTAAGTTAAGCCCATTACTGAATTTCTGGGAGATTAAAAACAAAAGCTGAAGGTGTACCACAGCACAGCTGGAGGAGGCTGGCTTATTGAAGACTGAACACACACACACACACACACATGCACACACACCCTGGAGAAGTGATAGGATACACAAAAGAAGGGGCACAAGAGAAGTGTGTCGGACATTTTTTTTGGTTAATGATGAAGTAGTGATTCTCAGAGAAAAAAAGAGAAGGCAGAGAAACATATATGGGAGTGGGGAAACAAATAAAAAGATAGATTAAGATTATGCCAAGAGCAGGGGAAAAAGATCTAGTGTAAAGCTTTAAGAAAAAGAACAAGAATCTGCTGAAATGGTGAAGAAAGTCAGTAAGAGAGCAAAATGGTACTGCTAAGCAAGAGAACAAGCCTCTAACATTAACGGACTGCAAAGCGCTTCACACAGTGACGACCTTATTATCTTCCTTTCCCAGAGGAGGAAATTGAAGCTTGGGGATGTTAAGTATCCTTTGCAAAGCACCACAGCCTATTAGTGGCAGAACCAGGATTTGAACTTGGGTGCGGCTCTATCTCCAGAACCTGTGCGCGTAACCACTACAGCGTGCTCCATTATTGGGTTCAGCATAAAAGCAGTGGAAGGAAAGCAGCGATGGTTGGGAAAGGCGTAGGAGAATCAAACAGAAGAAAATGCTAAGAACTCAAGTTGTGAGAACAAATAGCCAGATAATACAATCAAAATGAGCACAAATTTCATTGCACCTGTAAATAAAGTCCCTTACATTGGCCCCTGGACTGGCCCTGTGGGCTCCTGGGAAAGTGCATACACACTGTCCTTCTCTGCCCTGGCCTACTCCCACCTTGGGTATCAGAAAGTGGGACCTTCCTGGGGCGAGTTAAAACCCTCGGCCTCGGGCACGGTATGGAGTGATACGAGGCCATAGGATCTTCTGACATTCTCAGGTTTCTCACTGTATTGCTTGGCATTCCTTTTTCTGGTATAAGAAGCTTCTGCTCTACCTGGCTGGTAGAGGCAGCAAAGAGGGTTGAGGAGCCCCAGGGAGGGGAGGGGAGGAGAGGACAGTGTGAAGATGATATCTTGGCACAGTGATATTTTTAAACAAACGTACAGGAAATTATACATCCAAATACACTTTATTCTTCAGAATTGCCCCCCTCAGGGCAGTTCACTATTCCAGTTATTTTGCCACTGATAATGCAGCACAGGCTTCTCTTTGGAAACTATCTTCAGAGTCTGTTCAGGATCCTCAGAAGAAAAGGTAACTTTCATAGCTTTATTTTTTCCTAAAAACAGTATTAGTCGGTTTGATCGACCATGTTGGAAACCACATTGACTCCATCACTTGCTACTCTCCCAAATTAAATCCACGCTTAAAGGACAAAGATTTGCCTCAATTCCAAGTCTATGACACAGGCTTCTGTAGCTCTTAAAGAAGAGGGAAAATACTCACTGAGGCTTCACAAGGTTAGTCAACAGACTTTTTAAAACCCTTATTTACTGACCACCTACTATGCACCAGATACTGTCCAAGGTACTGGGGATTCCACGGTGAGCAAGACAGTCCATGTGCTCAAGGAGCTTCCACTGGAACAGGGGGAGACAAAGAAGCATCTGAAGGAGCTTCATAGTGTGATGGTTGAGAGCAAACACACTGGAGCCAGACTTCATGGCTGTATTTCTGGGGTGTGTAATGATAGGCAACTTCCTTCATCTCTCTGGGTATCAGCTTCCACATTAATAAAATAGGAATAATAGTAGACCTTACTTTCTTCAGGGTTTTTGTGAAGACTAAATGAATTGATGTACGCAAAGCACTATGCACCAGCCCTGTGGTACCAGCTCTTACCTGTTGTACCAGCAGGTGCCTTCTCCGTGAGGCGTTCTGATCGCCCTACTTAAAATCACCCCCAGCACTCTCTATCCCCCTTCCTCCTGTTTTTCTCTACATCATTCATTCCCATATGACATGCTAAGAATTTTTATTGAGTACTTGCTATGTTCTAGGTACTGGGGATCTAGCAATGAATAAAAAAAGATCCTTGAACTCATAGTGAGATGGTCTAATCAATAAATATGTGTTGGATGGATGGATGTAAACAAATAGAGTGGTTAATCATGACAAATGCAGCAGGGCACTTAAGTAGCATAAAGTGAGGACCCAGCAGTGACAACTGACTTTAGCAAGAGGTAGGTCCGTGGCAACTTGGATAAAAGCTTCTTTGTTCAAGTGATAGTAAGTGGACTGAGGAGAGAATGAGAAGTGAGAACGTTTGACAAGTACAGACAACTGTTTTAATGACTTTTGCTGTGAACACAGCAGAGAAAGGGGCAGTAGATGGAAAGGGATAGAAGAGTCAAGAATAGTTTATTATTTTTTGATAAATGCTAGCATGGCGTGTTTGTATGTGATGCCTACGACCCAGAAATTAATGAATTAATGATGATGGGGTAAGAAGGAAGAGGGAGAGAGAGAGAGGAAAAAAAGAGAGCAAAATAGAGAGAGAGAAGAGGGCAGGGGAGGAGAGGAAAGGAGAGAAGAGATAATTTCAGGAAGGAGTAAAGTCCCTGAGAAGGTGAGAGGAGATGGGGTCCAGTGTGCACATGGAGGGATTGTGTTGGGTAAGAACAGGGACAGCTCATTAACTGAAATAGTAGGGAAGGCCAGATTTGTGGGTGGGATGCAGGTGGGTTACAGATAGGCTGTTAGATTTGATGGCTGGGAGATAAGAGAATTCTCTTCTGGTTACTTTCATCTCAGCAAAACAAGAGATGTGTTTATTAACTACAAAGAAAGAGAAGGAAGAGACTTCAGAAACTTGAGAAGAGAAGAAAAATGTATGATGCAGCCATCACAGGAAGGGAAGAGAGCAAACTTCCCAGGGTAGTGGAGGAGGATTTCTAGCAAAGTTGAGGGCCCATTTGATATTTGTGGCTGAAAATCTGAAGCAAACCAAGTCACGTGGTGGGGGATTTTTCTTCTTCAGATGCTTACAGGCAGGTGTGGAATAAGAAGACAGTAGGCTTAACTAGAGTGGAGTTTTGTCACAGGGATACAGTGACAGGAAAGTTAGGGGTGCTTGCATATTGGGATGATGGGGTCTATGGTGGTTGAGGAAAGTAAAGACATGGTAGGTGGAGGGATGAAAGAGTTTGAGAAAGTAGTTGTCTCCATGAAATGAAGTCTTGATGAAGTTTAAGAGTAGCCAGAATAAAAACTAGAGCAGGTGACTGGAAGGGTAGGAGGTACAAGTCAGAGAGTGGGATGTTTGAAATAGAGATTTTGGAGGTGGGTTCATCGCTGATGATAGAAATTCTAGGATAAGAACACGTAAATGGCTCAGGTGGAATAGAAGAAAGATCACTGGAGCTAAGGAGATCAAGGAAGAGAAAGACTAGGTGTTACCCAGATGCAGGGAACGAAGAAAGGTATGACTGAGGAGAGAAGGATGGTCCCAACACAAAGGTCATTGGTAAAGGATGAGGAGTAACTGGATGTTAGCAGGTGGCAGTAACAAGGAGTGGTAATGAGTATGAAAGTCCAATTACTTGTGCTTCAAAAGAACTGGGCTTTGTGAAGGATAAAAGGAGAAATGGTTTAAATATGCCATTGGGGGTGAGGAGGGTGCTTACCTCTCTCTGGGCTCTGGGGTGCATAGAATGAGAAGAAAAAACAGCTTTCTTCAACTCAAAGCCAGCCAGATTTCAGTTAGAATTTATCAGTGAAGGGATAGTTCAAAAAAGTTGAAGATGAAGTAGATTTTGCTGTTGAAGATTGTAAATACTGGAGGCAGGGTGGAAGGATTTGGACTGGCAGGGAGGGGTGGTAAATGGGACCCAGATTGGGGAATGTAAGGAGCAGTATAGGGATAGCATTGGTGTGAGTATAAATGATCTGGGAGGCTTGGTGACTACTGTCAATGATTCATTTCATAGCAACAACACTTGAAAGGATATTTACCTTTTTAAATATGTGTGCACTTAAACAAAAACCTTCAATCTCATTTTTTTAATATTAGCCCTTGGACTAGTATGGGATGGGGATGCAGGTCTGAGTTGTCCTGGTGCCTCTTTTGGGCTCTCAAATTTTCCCTTCGTATCACCATGATCATGACCGGGGATTGTAAAAGGCAGACAAGGAAGTAAATCCACTTCTGCCCCAGTTCAGCACTATGCTGCCCCCTAGGGCCAGTGGCAGAAGCTGCAGCTGCTGCTCTACCAGCTCCTATCTTGACCTTCATGGCAGAAGAAGTAGCTGCTTTCCTGGTTTTATCAAAGTGTCCTCAAATGCCCAAATGAAATCCGTGACATTGGGAAGAGGAGGGAACTGAGAAAGGGCAACAAGAGAAGCACACTTACACATGGCGCATGGCATCCTCAAAGAGAACCAAGTCCATCACTGTGTTCACTTCATTGTGGTTCTCCAAGGCTTCCAGCAGAGTCTGGGTCAAAAGCTCCCACGATTGTACAGGCATGTACTTGGGCTCCCCTATGCCATTTGCAAAGTGGCAATACATGTTCAGGCTTCGGGTCTGCTCCATAGTCTCTTCAATATCCTGGCAATGAGACACAGGGACAAGACCCTCCTTAGTGGCTCTCAATTCTGATTCCACACAGAGTGGAGACATCTGATTTACCTTTTCTCTAGGCACATTCCTTAAAAACTAAGTATCAGTGCTGATTCCAACACTTCCTTCCTCTTGAGAAGCCCTTATAAAGTGGATGTTTAACATTCATTTACCTGCTCCATGAAGTCATGGATGATGTTTCTTATTCCTTGAGGGCTGAGGATGGGAAGTGGAAGGTGGGAGGTACCCTTCACATGTGCACAATAAGAGCCCATGTCCAAGCAGAGGAGTGGAGGGGGACCCAGGGTGGATTTCCCAAAGCAGGGGCTCTTCCACCAGTGTTGGGTGAAGGGGATCATGGCTCAATGGCCTCATCTCTCCCATAGCCATGCCAACAGGTCTTGTTCCTCAATCCACAGCAGTGCCATCAAACACCCTTTCCTGTTTCCTGTGGGATTACATGCTACAGGTTGGCAGCCCCAACTTCATAGCCTCAGCGGAGAGGGCTTGGCTTCTGAAAAATGTACCATCTTAGGTACATCAAAAATAATCCATCCTTAGGCGACTGGTTTGTTTAATGGGAACATTGACAATCTTAAAAGATTTTCAGGAGAACCTCTATTTATAAAACTTCCATAAAGATTTGGGCTTATTGTGTGTCAACTCTTGCCCACAGGGCAAACCTTACTATGTTTAATAAATATCTAGTACGACTCAATAAACTTAAAAGATATGAAGTCTAGGTCTCTTCACCACCAACCTATCCTCAAAGTATCAAAGAGGCAGCTATCTTTATTTTTTTAATTCAGAAAGGAATTATTTACTTATCAAAACCCAAATCCTGAGACTTCAAGAGAAAGAAAGGCTATAGAGGAAGTAGGTCCAAGAAAGAATAGGTTTTCTAATACATAAGTAGGAATTTATACCAGCATGAGCAATTGTCCCCTTCTGTCATCTTTTTCTTCTAAAGTTCAGACTGGGAGATCCACCTGGGAAAGAGGTAAACAGCATGCTATTCACCAGGGGGGGCATTGCCCAGGGCATTAGTCACTGTAGGGTTAGCCTTGTAAGCCCATAGGAGGGAAAGTGAGGATGACAGTGACAACTACAGAGGAACCAGGACAGCTGCCCGGTGATAGGCAGAAAGCAGGGGAAAGAGTTAAAGGGCAAAGAGTTATCACATTTTGAAGATGGCTTAGGGCCATAGGAAACCCCTGAACTATTCTGGCTTTGCCAGACAGTAACAATAAATGCCAGTCATTGGGATAAGATGTTAACGAAATGCAGGAGAGCTGTTCTTGCTAGTTGAGGAAAACACATGGAAAATGATATGGGAGTACCTTCACCCAGTTTGAAAACGGGCTAATACACTGGGAATCAATCCTGATGTCAGTCAGTTTACACTAATGATCTAGCAGAGGACAACTGAAGCGCAGTTCTGAAAACCCTGGCCTACAAAGACTCTTTGATGAACAAAACAAGTCGCCGATTTTATGATCAGAGCCATGCTGTGTAGAAGGGAGAGAGAAAACCAATGCACACATTGAACCAAAGATTTCTTAATAGTGACACCATTTCACACAAGGGCCATGAATCAGAGAACTTTAAGCTTTTATGGTGAAACAGGACTGTATCTCTTCCTAGGTAGAAATTTGGCAATTTTTCTTTGATACCGGTACTAATTAGGATTTGGTACAACCAAAGGTGCTTCAGGTTGGCATTTCATAACGTTCTTGGGAGAAGGATAATGGCAGTACTAATTATATCTGGGTCAATGATCAAAAGGATGTGTCCTTAGTCTACAGACCCACATAGGAACCTCTCTTTCAAAGACTGAGTGTTCTTACTCTAAAGTGCTAGCTCAGATCAAGTTAAGAAGACAGTTAAGGCTCATTTGCAGAACTAAGAGTGAATACATAAGTTGGCAAACTCTACATTGCTCAGAGAGGGGCATCTAAGATGTGAGAGTGCTGAACATCAGGCTATATAAAAATGATGGGTTAAGTGGAGGAATTCAAGGTGTCTGGCCTAGTAAAGAGCAGATTGAAATAAGTTACTTAAAATGCTGTCCAAACATTCAAAAGACTGCCATGTAGGTTGGGACGGACTGTAAATATCTTCAGAGGTAGACCCAGGGTGTCACCAGGAAAAAAATATGAAGCTAAACCTAACAAGGTGAACATAGGGATAACTAGGTACATTTAAATACAAGATTTAATTCTTTCTAAGTTCGAGAGATGACAGATAGCAGTATGTGTGGAAAAGTATGGCGCTTTGATCAACAGAAGGCTCAGTGTTAGTTGTGTAGTAATTTTGACACTAAGAACGTAACATGATCTCAGGCTGTGTCAATGTGTCAGTGTTTCCCAAGGCATATTCCATGAACCACTCATTTTGCAAATTATTAATAGGTTTTATGGAAGGAAAATAGTATTAGGGTCCAATATGTTTGGGAAATGATATGTGAATCAGGGTTATTCAGGATTTTCAGGGCTTTAATATGCTAAATGCGCTGTGAATTTCTGAGAGGGGAATATAATATGAAGTACTTTCTCAACTTATTTTATCATAGATGTCTTGTTTCTAAAGAGTATATTGTAGTAATACTGTTTAGCAGGACACGTTTTGGGAAACACAGTAACAGAACTATAGCATATGAGAACAGCAGAATGATGCTCTCACTTTTGGGCACACTCCACTGAGATGGTGTGATGAAAGTTGGGCACCACAATTTCAGAGGGGAGAACTGATGGGACAGTAACCAAGATGATGTCAAATTTCTCTGGCTTTGAAAACAAGCCATGTCAGAAATGGCTAAGAGGACAGAGGCTATCTGACCTGGAGAAGAGAAGACTCAGGAAGGACAAGATAAATGGTCTTAAGATAGTTGAAGGGTTGTCATGTAGACCTAGGATTAGTGGACAGGGAAATAAATTTTAGGTCATTATTAGAATAAATTTACAGTCTTTAAAATTGTTCCAAATTTCAAAATTGTTCTAAATTTCCAGTCATTAGCAGTTCCAAAATGGTTTCCTTTGGAAACACGAGATTGTGCATTTCCAAGGATGCTGGAGTGTCAACTGGGATGACCAATCTGGGAAATGCTACAGAAAGGAGTTAGTACAGGATGAGGATTTGGATCAGATGGTCTCCATAGACTTTCTCAACACTGAGATTCTTTCAATAATTTGTGTCTCTTCTTGCTCCAGCAATTTTTACCTTGGGAAAATAATAGAATTTTTTTGCTTATCTAATCTCTGATTTTCTCTAATTTATGGGCTAGATTTTATCATTTGGGCAATCATCTGCATAATTAACATTATTTTTCAAAAGTAAAAAAATTCACAGGGCAATACTCACATCAAATATTTTCTTCACCACTTCTGTCTGGATTTTATCAAAAAGATCAAAGTCCTTTTCTTCCACCATCTTATCACGATAAACCCGATTTGATTCATGCAGATAGAGCTTTACTAGGTCCTGTGGGGATTTTACACATTCCACTGAGGAGAAGAGAAGGCCCTTTAAGAACAGACAAAAAGCAAACAGAAAGACTAAAATACATGAATAACAACTTATAGCTACAACAGCTACAGTTCACTGAAGTCAGTTATATGACAGGCACTGGACTACATGTTTTGCCAGACAGAGCTCATTTAACCATCATGATGATCCTACAAAGTAATTTTTACTGCATCCGTTTTGTATAATGTGGAGATTGGGATTCAGACAGACTGGAAGCATGCCCAATGTCATACACTTAAGTAACCTTAGTTCAAACCTACAAGGTCTGCCTGAACTTAGAACCTGGAATTTTAACCTCTACATTCTAAATCACCACGATGATGGCGGAGGTGGCTTCTCTGCTGTATTCAATTCCACAAGTGCCATTTGAAAACTAGTCTAGGAGACAATTGCTTATGTAAAATCAGAATGATGACAAAGGACTATAGTTTCCTTTGCAGGTCAGCAATCCATTTATTCATCTCTAGTAGGTTCTCCTTCTTACATGCCATAAGATTATTCCAAACATTTACTATTCTTTCCAAATTTCTCTGTTACCTCTCTCTGTTACAAAGTCAATGTCTTAGCCTTCTTTTTTATTGAAAATGGAGACCACCAAGATTAGAACCCCTTAACAACCTCAACAAGTTCTATAACTTCAAACACATCTATATCTCTGTTTGCCCTCACTGCTTTCTTTCTTGCCTTAAAGGAAAAGGGGTTATTTAATGGCTCCTTATGACTGACAGAATAATGCTCAGATTCATCAGCATGGCATAAAGGGCTGGTTGTCATATGCCTACCAGTCTGTTTCCTCGTGATCAATCTCACCACCACTTTCCATAAAATTTAGATTTCAGTTTCACAAAATTCAAATTATTTTCTCACCCTATATACTTTCTGTGCCATCATGTCTTCTGCTTTGCTTGCTATACTCATGTTTCAAGATCTAGGTCAATTGATACCTCTTTGTTGAAGTCTTCCATGACATCTCCTTTCCTGTTCAATAGCATTCCTTCTGATGTGCTCCACATAACCCTTTATACATAAATCTTTATTATAGAAGAATTATTAGTTCTAAATTTAATTTTCTTTGTACAGGTTTGCTTCTTCCAGGTCATGGTGAGTGTTTCAAAGGCAGGGAAATTGAGAGACTTCATCTTGGATGTGGTTTATTTTTATCATTGTATTACTAGCATCTCACATGGAGCCTGACATAAACTAGATTCTCAACGAATGCTTGTTGAAAAAATGAATGGACTAATATTGAATTCTTCAACTCCGAAAACATAGCAAAAACCTCCATCAAGACTTCTGGTTTTTGTAATTGCAGAATAGCTGATCATAGACCAAAGTGAAACTAAGAACTTGACAAACGGGATTAATAGCAGAACAGACACAGCTGGAAAGAGAATTAAGGAACAGGAAAAGAGATTAGCACAAAATATTCAGATTGAATCACAAACAGGAAAAAAAAAAAGGAAAAGAGCATACAGGACATATGGGATATAGTGAAAAGGTCCATATATGTGCATTGGAATAAAAGAAGAAGAAAAGAGAGGGAAGCAGAATCAATATTTGAAGAGACATGGACTGCAAGTTCTCTAACACTGAAAAAAGACATCAAACCAGATTCAAAAATGCTATGAACATTAAGAAGGATAAACACAAAAAATACCACCTTGGACAACTTAGGCATAATTGTGAAATTTTTGGAAAATCAAAGACAAAGAGAAAATCCTAAAAGCTGGCAAGTGAAGAAAATATGTGTACCCTCAAAGAAACAATAAAACAGAGATACTTTCTCAACAGAAACAATGGAAACCAGAATAGAATGGAATGACACCTTCAAAGTGCTAAAAGAAAATAGCTTCCAACCTAGAATTCTAAATGCCCTCCTAAAATTCTTGAAAAATAAGAAACAAATACATTTCAGTCAAATAAAAACTGAGAGATTCTTCTCTAGCAGATATAAACTAAGTAAATACCAAAGGAATTCTTCAGGCAGAATAAAAATTATTCCAGGGGCCAGCCCCACGGCTGAGAGTTTACATTTGTGTGTCCTACTTTGGAAGTCCAGGGTTCACCAGTTTGGATCCTGGGCATGAACCTATGCATCGCTCATCAAGCCATGCAGTGGCAGGCATACCACATAGAAGAACTAGAATGACCTACAACTAGGAAATACAACTATGTACCGGGGTTTTGAGGAGGAAAAACAAAGGAAGATTGGCAACAGATGTTAGCTCATGGCCAATCTTCTTCACCAAAAAGCATACTTAAAAAAAAAAAAGGCCCAGAATTTTAAAAAAGATTCCAAATTCAAGAACAGAAATGCAGCAGGAATAAAGAGCAATGGGATTAGTAACACGTGAATGCCTAGATAAATGTTGACTTACTAACATAAAAACATTAGTGTATTATGGGTTTTCAATACAAATGAATTAAAATAAATAAGAATAAAATAAGAATTGGAGAGAAGTAAATTGTTCTGAGATCGTGGCATGTATAGCAATTGATAAAAGCACTAATTTATAGAAGAAAAAGAGGATAAAATGATGCATTTTGTAACCATTAGATGAATAGTAAAATGATGTATAGCATGCTAAAGGAGGGAGAAAATAAAAGAATAAAACTATATTCAATAGAATACAAGGAATGAGAGGAAAGAAAACGGAATAGGTAGCACATATTGAAAACAAATGGTATAAATTAGATTTAATCCTAAATATATTATTATATAAAATAACATAAAATCTAAATGAACTAAACATTTTAATTAAAAGACTATGATTATCACAGTTGATTTAAAAAAATCCCATCTATATGCTGCTTATAGGAGATATAAATTAAATATAAGAATACAAAAAAGGTGGGATAAGAAATGGGAAAACAATATATCATGAAGATACTGACTAAAAGAATATGGAGTAACCATACTAATATCATACAAAGTTGACTTTAAAGCAAGGGCTATTTTTAGAAATAAAGAAGTCCATTTAATAATAGGAAAAGGGTAAATTCAGTACAAAGATACAGTAACTCTAAATTTGTATGCACCTAATAACATAGGTTCAAAATATATAAAGCACGTATGACAGAAATAAAAGGAGGAATTGATATGTCCACAATCACAGTGGGAGATTTTAACATATCTTTTTTAGAAACTGACAGAACAAGCAGACAAAGAAAATCAGTAAGGATATAGAAAACTTAAACAATATGATTTACAAGCTTGACCTAATTGACATATTGATAAAACTACACCTGACACAGGCAGAATGCATCACTTTAAAAGTGCACATTTGTCCTCTCTTGGGACATAAAGTAAATCTCAAGAAATTTCAAAGAAATAAAATCATATTTTATTTAAATCATATTATAGTTTATTATATATAATATGTTATTAAAATCATATCATATGAGTATATTTTCTGATAACATTGAAATCAAGCTAGGCATCAATAAAAGAAATATAACTAAAAAATCCCTAAATTTTGGAAAATAAAGTAATATAGTTCTAAATATCCAATGAGTTAAAGAAGAAATCATAGGGGAAATTAAGAAATATTATGAAATTAATGATAATAAAAGTATAACATATAAAAGCTTGCATGATGCAGTGAATGGTATAATTAGAAATAAATTTATAGCCTTAAAATGAATGTTTTAGAAGAGATGAAAGGCTGACAATTAATGATCTAAGTAACCATGTCAAGAAGTTAGAAAAAGAATAAACTAGCCCTAAACCCAAGGAAGTAGGAGATTATAAAGAAAAGAGTAAATATTAATAATATAAAAAACAGATATCAATAGAGATAGTCAATAAAGTAAAAAACATAATATTGATCTACTTTTCAGTTTCTTTTAAAAGACTAGCACAACTGAGAATTCCCTAGTAAGGCTGTTAGACGATAAAAAGAGAAAAACAGAAAAGGCACACATAATCAACATCCAGAATAAGAAAGAGGACATAATGTCAAATACTACAGATATTTAAAAGATAATAGGGTTTTATAAACAATTTTATGCCAATAAATTAGAAACTGGTGATGACTTTGACATCTTACCACAACTGATACATGAATAGAAAATCTGAACTGTCTAATATGTGTTAAAGAAATTGAATTCACAATTTAAAATCTTCCACAAAGAAAACTCCAGAAGGTTTCACTAGTAAATTCTTCCGATATTTAAGGAAGGCAAAATACAATGTTTTACAAAATCTTTCAGAAAGTTGAAAAAGAGAGAATACTTCCTAATGCATTTTATGAGGACTTTATAACCTTAGAATACTAGAAAAAGGAAAATTACAGGATAATATTATTAATATAGATGCAAAAATTATATAGAAAAAGATAGCAAATGTAATCCAGCAAAATATAAAAAGTTCTACATGTAACAACCAAGTTGGATTGATTTTAGAAAAGCAAGGTTGATTTAACATTCAAAAACAATCAGTGTAATTCATCACATTTCCAGAACAAAGGAGAAAAAAATCAATATAATTATTTCAACATATACAGAAAAATCATTTGTTAAGTTTCAATATACATTCATGATTTAAACTCTTAGTAAACTACAAGCAGGAAGAAATTTTCTTAATTTGGCAAGGACCATCCACAAAAATCTATAGTAAGCATCATATTTAACGATCAACTATTAAAAGCTTTTCACCCTAAAATTAGGAATGCAACAAGATGCCTCTCCCATCACTTCTCTTCAACATTGTATTGGCAGTTGCAGCCAGCACAGTAAGACAAGAAAAAGAAATTAGAAGATTTAAGGATTGGAAAAAGAGAAATTGTTATTATTATTTACCAACAACATGATTATATATTTATGTACAAACAGGTTATCGAACAAAGATGCAAAAGAATATTTCCCATATGATTCTATTTATATAAAGTCTAAAACTAGGCCAAAATAACATCTGGTGTTAGAAGTCCAGACAGTATTTACCTCTGGGAGGTGGAGGAAAGAGTGAACGGAAGGAAGAGAAAGGAAGAGTTTCAGGGCTGCTGGGAACATGCTACTTCTTGACCTGAATTGTGGTTACACAGGTGTGATGACTTTGTGACAATTAACCGAGCTGTATGCTTATGTCTTGTGCGCTTTTTTTCTTGCCTATTATATTTTAATATTTTTTTTTTTTATAAAAAGAAATTCCATCAGGGCCCCTTAGCGCCACCCACACGCATATCTCAGCCTCTCTCTCCTCTGCTTTCCTGGTATCAGCCGCGTACGAGACACAGAGGGCAGGAGAAACACCAAGCAGAAATCTTGCTTCTAGGACTTTGTGATCTATAGTGAGATGAGCCATCCATTGGAGTATATAAGCCCTGTTACAGCCACACACTCAGGCTGATGGACAATTAAGGGCTGAGTCAATGTGAGTGTGTCAAGTGCAAACTTTGCGGCATCTTAGATAGTTACGTGTAGCACTGAGACGGGAAAGGTTAATGGTTTCTGCTACTCCAGCACTATCATGTTCTGTCCTGACTGGGGCCGAGTGAGGGAAGCGCAAGGAAGGTCTGAATTATTGAGCCCTGAATCAAGCTGGATGGAGGAAAACAGTGTGTTCTTTAGGCAATGCCTGTCTCCTAGTGGGCATTCAAGCATCCCCTTCATCTCTTACATCAGGCCTCTAGACAAACAGGCAGGAAGGGAGGGAGGCAGGGGGAGGTTGTTATCAAGCTCTGAGCTTGACACTCTCCTCTGGAGGGGGAGTGCGAGGGGCTGTGTGGTTGAAGGCAGGCAGGCATTCCGATGGCAGAGGCAGTTTCCCATGCTTGTGGCAGGTGGCTGACAGCTGGCAGGCTGCAGAGAGGCCTGGCCGGGATACAGAGCCCAGGGGGTTGCCACTCAGGCTGCCTGAGTCAGGCAAAGAAATAGGCCACAGGGAACAAGCGACGTAGACCCCACCTCGCTCTCTATCTCGTCTCCTTGGTTCTTCCCTGGCACTGCACCAGTTGCCACTAAAACAAGGCTGGAATAGAACCGTCCTTCCTCAAGGAGCCTTTGTCACCCTTAATCACCTGCACAGTGAGGCTGAACATTCTAAGTTTTGGATGCCAGCTCTGCTGCTTACCATTACGTGATCATGCTCAAGGTATCTGATTTGTCTGTAGCACAGTTCTGTCAACTCTAAATTGGAAATAATGAGGATTTTGCCCTTTGTGGTTGCTGTGAGGATTAAATTATGAACTAATAGATGCACAGGGCTTATGACTGTGTTCAATAAATGCAGCTATTATTACAGACTAAAGTCAGACTCTCTATGAGGGCCCACTCTGGTCTCAGATTATCTTCCCAGTCTCCTCTCTCACCAGTCCCTCCATATCACTCTCCGTTCCCACTGGGCTGGAATACTTGTTATTCCAGCAACATCGTTTATGCTTTTCTACCTCTATGACCATTGACACTGCATCTACTAGCTGGGAACTTCGAGCCTCTGTAAAATTGGCATAATAATGTGTATCCCACCCAAAGGGTTGTCGTGAAGACAAATTTCAGGCTGTACAGGTGACAAGGCGCCTGTCCAAGCAGCAGCTAGGGCTGCGAGCTTCTGGTAAAAGACTTAATCGCCTCTTCTCCTTTTAGTTCTGCCACCATGAGCAATGTGAATTTGATCAAATGACTTTAACTCCTTTTTCTTCATTTGGAAAATGCGGATGGCAACACCTCTACCTCATGGGGCTGCAGTGAGATTGAAGAGAGGGTTTGTGTGATAAAAAATGTCTTTCTCAATTAATGCTCAACAAATGGCAGACAATAGAGGGTAAGCACAAACTCTGCCATTGTCCGGGCCCGAGGGCCACAGAGCTGCAGGCTTTACAGGCTTGGAGCTGAGTCTTTCTCACTGCCTTAACTGTCTTATGCTTGTTCTCTTCATCACAAGCAAGGACAAGAAGGACAGAACGGTGTGGTGGGAAGGGCTCCAGGCCAGGAACCTGAAGACACAGATTCTAGTTCCGTTTCCTTCACTGGCTCGCTGTGTGCTCTTAGGCAAATCTATATAATCTCTGTTTCCCCATTTTTAGCTGAGTTAATGTTTGGGAGCTGCACGATCCAGGAGTGCTGTCCCAAGCCAGTTTAGATGTGTTCTCAGAGACAGCCCTGCTGTGGGGCTCAGCAGCTCCACCTTCAGCCTAAGCCTTTCTGGAGTACAGCTCTTAGGTCTTTGAACTAATGTTTAGTAGGTTTCTGCTCTTTACAACCCAGAGTCCTGGCTGGAACACGCAGGCCCTATGTGCTCAGGGTCTTGAACTTTGCTGAGATCTGAGGTTCCCCGGAGTCTTACCTGCACAGGTGGAGCCCTGAATAATTAATTCCAAACACATGTGCTCCCTGTGGAAGGTCGTGCCTCACTCCCTGGTCACACTGTCACTTCCCTACAGCTGTGGCCTCTGCTTGGCGTAAACGGCATCCTTCCCTCACTAATGGCTCAGTGCTATCTTGGGGAGGGGCGTCTCTGAAAAGCTGTTTCTGCAGATTCTTGTCCAGGACGGGGGAGTTGTGGACTCCATCATGTGAGGATGCTGTATCAGACCAAGGGGAAGACAGGACCAGGTTTGCTGCATTACCGTCTTGAAGTTTGATAGTAAAGGGCCAAGCTACCAGAAGAAACGGGCAGAGACAGGCCATCACTATTCAGATGAGCAGCTGGAAGGATCTAAAATGGCTTTGGCCTGGAAAAGGACCTGGAATTTTTAGGACTGAGGCATCCCAGGGGATGGCAGATGGTGTCTTAGGATTATTATGACATGACTTCTTCAGGAAGCAGACCTATCCTACACGGTTTGGGGGATATTCTTTTTCACCCCAAGAACAATGGGTGTGCCACCAGAGGCTGCAAAATAGTTTTTCTTTCTTCTGTGCCATTTTCTTTCCTAGGCATGCTACAATCATTATACAATGTTATCTCCAAGATGCTGAGCCTTCTCCTGCCCAAAGGAACCAACTCAGAAATGCATTCTGTTTACTGGGAAATAATTTAATCCACAAACAGAACTTTTGTTGAAGTCCTTCCTCATGGAGTCCACGGCACTCTGTCTACCTGTTTATGTTCATGACTCCACATGAGCTGTGCCTTTGCCTAAGAGTTTTGCGTTAACTATTATTTTACTAAGAATGGAAGGAACTGGATGATGACTAAGCCTTCTAAGGTGATTCGGAGCAGATGGACTCACCTGGAAGATGTTGGCGAAGTCTCTGAGATTGAAGGTGTAGTGGAATTTGATCGCTGTGGGCAGGAATGTGGTGGCGACTTTCTGGTGGAAGGTGAGGGCCAGATTGATCAGCTGGGGGATGGATTTCTGCAACGACGCTGGGAAGTTTCCAAGCTTTAGATGCTGAGTCAGGATGGTGCTGTAGATGGAGGACAGGGCATCTGCTCCCGGAAAGGAAAGGACGAACACACTGAAGTGACGCTGCACAAGAAAACAGAGGCATGTGGAGGAGGCCATGAGCTAGACATCCCTTATCACAGAATAAAAATCATCTTTTCTGGATTTGGATAAAACAACGAAGGATTCTTATACGGGCTTTGAATTCTACATTCTGGTCACATATCTCACACTAAACCTAAACTTAGGTTGAACCTAAAATGACTGGAGGAATAATGGGCTTTGGATCTTTGGTCAAAGATGTCAGCAAGGTGCAGTAGCAGGAGAGCTAAACATGAACTCAGTGAATCTGAGTCCAAATTTGAATATGACACTGAGTATCCATATGACCTTGGGAGAGTCATTTCCTCTCCCCGAGGTTTCTCATTCTGAAGAATGAGTTGAATCAGATGACCTCTATGACCCTTTCCAGCTCTAAAAGCTTCATGACTCTGTGTCTAGGAGTTTTTCTGTCCCCTAGAAATGCAAGTCAGCATCCTGTATGATTTATCACTTTAAGAGGCTGGACAGGGAAGGGCCAATTATTACTTATAATCAAGCAACATCAGCCCTGGTGAGGTAGAATTTTGGACTCTGGTACCATGGCTCCCCCATACCTGAAGTCGTGGGTTGATGGTGAAGCTGCCTGCTGTGGGGTTCATACAGGAAACGTATTGTACATTCATGACCTCCTTTAGGGAGAGCTTGTTCCGGTCATACCTGGAATGGTCAGAGACCACAGGTGAGAGTTGTGTGAGGGCCCAGGCAAGTGAGTGCCTTGTCAGGGCGAGGTGGGATGTGCCCTATCATGGGAGGAAAATCAGGGGCATGTGGCACCTGAGCAAGCAGAGGAAGCCTGTATCTCCAAAAGGAAGGAAGAGTCAACCACATCAAGCGCTGCAGAGAGAATGAGAAAGATGGTGACCCAACGGGGTCTGTTGGACTCACAATATAGACAGTTAGAAGCTGAGCAAGAACAGTTCAGTAAAGTGAAGGAACTAGAAACCAAATAATGATACCAGCTCAACACAAGGTTGACACAAGGGAAGCCATATTGTAGAAAAGAAACCATATTGTAACTTTGAATGACCTCTGACTAACTAACCCAGGCATGCTCTGTAGATTTTGTGGCCCCTCCCAGCTGCTATAAGTCAATAACTTTGTCCTTTTGAGTTCCTTAGGAATGTGATGATCCCCCAGGCAGAGAGCCTACGCTGGTAGCCGTCATCAATGACAACTGAGAGATCAGGGTACAGGGCATTGCTCCGTTCTCCGATCCAGTAAAACAAAGGACTATCAGGAACTAAGACCAGGTGTCTGCCCCACCTGGAGACCAGATGCCTCCCCGAGCTGGAGGCCAGCCCTGTATATAACTGGCCTGTAGTCTTTGTTCTGTAAGATGGTTCTTTTGGACTTTAGTCGGCCATCTCCCCTCTTGCTAGCAAGCTGTAATAAAGTCTTTTCTCTTCTACCACCTTGCCTCCTGACTATTGGCAAGACTTGTGGTGAGCAGAGGAACCCCCTTGGGCAGTAATAATAATAGTGGAATGAGGAGTGAGCGGGAGATGAGGAAGTGGAAAGAGTAAAGACAATATGTAGAGAGAGAGACAAAACAGTAATGATTTTTTTGAACACAATAGAAGAAAGTTATGCAAGTTTAGATACTGAAGTGAAGGAACCACTTTGGAGATAGGGGGACTAGTTGATGAAGTAAGGATTTCCGGAGGTGGGAGGGAGTGGAATCAAGGTGCTGGTGGATCGTTAACTCTTAGAGAAGATGCAACAGGAGGAGGGAGAAAAGGATGCAGTGGGATGCAAATAAGTTTTGTAGACATGGAAGCAAGAAACAGAGATGGCGTCTGTGTTCTTGTGAAGAAAAGATCATCAGCTGAGGTGGGGTGGGGAGTTTGAAAAGAGAGAAGGTATGAAATAGACACTTCTGGGAGTGGAAATGTAAACACACTAAGGCAATATGGTAGAATTTCCAGGAAGTTTCTACTGCCCATTTAAGGTTTCTGCCATGAATCTAAAGTGAAGCTAATTAGCCTGACTTTTTCCAGTGTCATCCAGCTGCTCAAACACAGTGTGGAGATTGTGGATGGTTGTATGTGGCAGGCACCCAACAAAGACACTAGGAATGAATGAAAAGAGACTCAGGTTACCATGCTAATTACAATTCTTGTCTCTGAATTCCTTCTTTGTACTCCCCTCTCTTTCTCAGCAGCCGATTCAATATGAGGTAGGTAAGCCAGAATGGTCTTAAATCACTGACTTGCTTTTTTGTTTTTCTGGCAAGTTCCGGCCTGTTGCCATTAAAAACTACATTGTTGCAAGAGAAAATACCACATTCTGTGAGTTGCTCTGAAAAGACAAAGGCTGATAAGACCCACAGACACTTGTGTACTGAACAGTGTGTTATCATTGAAGTATATGCTCAGCGCTATGGGACCGCAGGTGGTGGGTGGTGAGAGGTTAATTTTGCTTTGGGGGCTTGGAGAAGGCAACTTTTGAGATGAGCTCAGCACCTTCTCTGAGGAAACTCTTGGCGTGGGTATTAACACCCTGTCTGAAAGGGGACTCCAGCAGACAGGACCCCATGATGACTGCGGTTTGCCATGGGATTCTCATCTGGCACCAGAGCTAAATGGTAGTCTGCACCTCCAGCAGAAAAAAGCTTAGCCGTCAGCCCTGCTTTAGGCCTGCTCCTGCCAGCCCAGCCCCTCGGTGTGTGTGCTCTTACCAGTGGCCATAGTCCAGATGCTGCCTGATGATGGTGTGGGGCTGCACGGTCCCGTAGGCATCCACCTCGGGCATGTTCATGTCATCAATGAAGTAGACAAGCTTCTTGTTGCCTGGAGGGCCATAATTTCTGCCAGCCTTCTTTTCTAGAGGCTTCTCCAGGACAGCTGAGGAGAGAGCCAGTCAGTGAGGGAAGGAGGTTCCAACCCCAGATGCCAGTACTAAGACAGTATAGATGTCAAGGACAAGCCACGGTACAGCGTGCGTGTGTGTGCAAACAGCAGCTGCAGCTGCTACTAGATCCAGGCATTCTACAGGACCAGAAGGTGAAGCTGGAAATTACTAGGCAGTGAGGAGGATGGAATCGACCAGGCTTTGCACATCTTCCTGTGTGCACTCTGTTAGGTTTTCACAAGCACTTATGATCTCATTTAATCCTTACAACATCATCGCAAGATTAGTTTTATCATCCCATTTTACAGATGAGGGAGCTGAGGCTCAGCAAAGGGAAGCAACTTTTCTAGAGTTGAGCCAGGATACAAATCCAAAGCAGTTAAACCTCAAAGCCCACACTCCTTCCATCAAACTCGTGGTCCCCAGTTTTCTTTGTTTAAAGACTAGAAATGGAAGATACCTTTACAGTCCCAAGGCCTGGTACTCTACCCTCCAAGAAAATCTACAAATAACCAGATCCTGGGGAGAGCTGTCCTCTCCACCCTGGACAGCAGAGGAGCCTGAAGCCTGTGGCTCCCATCCCAGGGCTGGGTAGAGGCCCCTTCCACCCCTGGGCTATAAGAGAGGAATTATTGGATATTTTGTCAACAGTTCTCAGAGAGTTCATCTCTTGGGGTTTTCCCTGAGGGAGAGTAGAAACAACAGCCTCAGAGAATTTCCCAGAAGTTTCCAGTATCGCAAACAGCTCCCCTTCTGCCCTCGGGTTTCAGGCCCCTATCAGAGCATCGCAGTGCCTTTCTGGAGACTAAGTTCAGACTCTCTTCTGGAGATGTTTCTTCCGTTATCCAGCCGGAAGGAAGGAATCAAACAGCACCGTCTCCAGCCTGACAGGACTTGTCTAGAACAAACTTAAGTAATAGAATGAAGATATGTGTACTTTTTTCAATAAAGCAATTAAATATTTATGTATTGCAAGAACCAACACTTTCTATTATGGCTGGAAGCTCTAAGGATCATCTGATTCCTTTTCTTGAAAAACAAGTTTGTAAACAAGGAGAAAGTGTCAATAGACATATGAAGGTGACAGATAGAAAGACAAGTTTCTTCAAGAAGCTTGAATATTCTAATTTTCTGGTCCTGAGTTAAATTAAGTGTTTCAAATATGAATTAAATTTAAATTTAATTAGCATCCAATTAACATACACTATCAACCAATTAATCATCCAACACCTTCTTCCCCCTAAAGATATAACAACTATATACGAGATCTGTCAAAATGAAATATAATTAATGGGATGCCAAGGACATGTTTTTGAGAACAGTGCTTCCAGTAGGAAATTCTCTCCTTAGGAAGACTTGTTTCTCCTCCTCCCCTCAAAGCAGTGATATTCAAATAAACCCCTGGATTAAGCAGACCCTATAATTTGGGTTGATTAAGCTCTTTATGCTTCTAAAGGATTGTTGAGGAGAAAAGCATGTCAGTTAGCAAGAAGTGGCCTTGGAATGCGCCAGATTATCTCAAAAGGATGATGTTAAGTACTCCAGAGAAAGAGAGGACTCCCCTGGGAAAGGCACACACACTTTTGATCCCTTCTTGGCCAAGTTCTGCTCTGACTCACATCCAGGATGGCGTGGTAGTAAGTTACTCTGTTTCCAGCCAGAACTGGAGGAGCATAAGCGGGTTTAAGTTTCAGCAAAGATGTTGATATCGAAGGTGCTGAACACATGAGACACATAAAGAAACGTGACCTTCCCACCACATTTCTGGGTTCTGCATTGTTGCAAACAAGTCCTGAGAGTCAAGCCCGCAGCCAGGCCTGTAGCTTCTCTGCACCATCTTACTGAATTTCTCCATGCGGAACAGCTTGGCCTTCAGCTTGTGGCTGCGTGCAGCAGCTCTGGCTGCCCTCGGCTTTTATTCACACCGCTTCTCCTGCACTGTTCCACCACCGTCGTACATTTGAAAAGCAATTTCATTTTCAAAGCTGGTTCCCATTTCTTATGTCACTTCACCGCCTCCACTGCTTCCATCCTTGTCAGTCGGCTCTCACCTGGGAACTACGAAATCCTCCCAAATGGTCTTCCTGCTTTTCGCCCTAGATCCCTTCCCTATATTCTCAAAACAGCAAAGTTATCCTTGTAAGATGTAAATCAGATAGTGCCAGTCCCTTGCTTAAAGCTCTCCAGGGGCATCCAATCTAACTTGGGACAAAAGCCAGTCTGGTTACCTCCACAAAACTTGCATCTTGATTTTTCCCTCCTACTGGTCCCCTCTTCACTCCCTCTGCTCCCGCCATCCTGCTTCTGACACACTGGTCACTCGCTGCCTCAGGGCCTTTGCTCTGGCTGTTCCCTCTGCCTGGAATCCTTTTCTCCCTCCTGCCAGCACAGTTTGCTCCCTCACTCCCATCAGGCATTTATTTACTCAAATGCCAGTTTCTCAGGAAGCCCTTCCCTAGCACACTCCCCCAAATTAAAACCCCCGCCTTCTATTCTTTGTCCCTGCTTCATTTTTCTCCATTACACTTATTACCACTTAATATCCTATATATTTGACTAATTCATCTTGTTTGTTTCATCACCTCTCCACACTCTAAACTCCATGAGGCCAGGAAACTTTCTCTGTTTTCCTCATTGTCATAACCCCAGCATCTAGAACATTATCTAGCACAAAGTGGGGTGCTCAAAAGACGTTTATTAAATTAAGGAATAACAATGAATTTTATTATTACAACAAACCCCAGGAATAGGCAAACGAGGACTTATATCCCCACTTTGTGACTAAGGAAATAGAAGCTCAGCGGGTAAAGGCCCTGCTGGAGTTAGAATCCAGGTCTGTGGATCCTGATTCCAATGCTTCTTTCACATCCCTTGGGGAGAGGGTCCTTGTAGCCCTCACACTCCTGCCCCTCTCTACGGTGGTCCCTGGCCCTCCTGTCCCGCTGACCCCTCTGGCCTCTGAGCTCCAGAGCAGCACATTCACGCGTCCAAGGAGCGTTACTAGGAGCCCGCTCTGTATGGAGGACTTCGCATGCACTAGAGCATTGACCCCAAAGGGCGGCCCTATCACATACTGTCATCACCTTAAAAAAAAAAACCTAACAAGTGAGAAAACTGAGGCTTAGAGAAATTAAGGGACGTTATCTGAGGTCATACAGCTACGGAGGGCAACGCCAGGATTCTAACCTGGGCTACCTCAGGTAACCAGTACTGCAAACTACTTCTTAAACATCACTACAACATGGCTTCCGCTCTTGAGAAATGCCCAGTTTAGTTAACTTATTGCCTGACCTTTTTTTTTTTTACAGAGATCATTAGTAATCCATCATGTCTTACTTTGTACTGACATGATTTGTGTACCTGTGTTTGAGCTATTTTCCTTCTACATTATCTAATTTGTCATGTGTTAAGATGTTTCAGTTATATTGGAAGGGCTTTACATTTATTCTTTAAAAAACTAACATGCTTTGCACGATTATAAAAATAATACATATTCATTATATAAAGATTAAAAAGCATAGAAAATCATGATGAAAACGAAAATTGCCCATAATTCTATCACCTACCAGTAAGCATTACTTTCAATATTTAGGTGTATTTCATCCTAGTCTATTTGTTCTGTTAGATTTTTCCTTTACAAAATCAGAATTATACTGCATATTCTGCTGATATATATTTTTTTCATTTCACATATTGTAAACACCTTTATATGATAATACATAGCTCCCTAAAACATGATTTTAATTGCTGCATTGTGTTCCCTAATTTAGAGGTACCCACATTTCTGGAATGGTTTCTCTATTGTCTGAAAGCTGTGTTGTTTTCAGTTTGCTTGTATACTTTGAAACTCCCTTCCCCCATTTGAAGCAGAGTGTCTCGCTCACTAGGTGATAAATCTTTGATGATTTAATTTCGTGTGATCTCCTTTTAGGAAGACATGAAGGCATGTGCATGAGCACTGTGTCTCTAACAACACAAGCTTGATGCTCCTTTGAGGCTGAGAGTTTGATCAGCTCTTTTAAGGTCCTGTTCAACGTTAAACTTTTAATGAACAGGTTACAGAGATTGGTTTTACACAAAGACTCAGACATCTGAGCTTCTATCTAATTAGTGTAATTAAGCACTCAAGTATTTGTTGACCTAATAATTCGAATCGCAGTTTGATGGCAAGAGAATTCAGAATTGTGAAGAGCATCATGTTGGGCACACTCTCTTTACACTGCAAATGTAAGCCCATCGATCCCTTGACCAAGTTCTTGGCTTCTCCTTTTCTCTTTCTAAACTATTCTGACTATGCGTCATTGCAAATTCTCTTATTTTAAAAAGTTACTTATATTTTCAAAAGAATGAGAAGACGCTTAAGGTATTTGAATAGACATAAAACAGACCAACTAAAATAAGGACTAAAAAGGGGTTCCAAAACAATATAGGAGAAGAAACTTATTTGCACCAGTGAGCTGGGACAACACAGTTACTGTAACCAAATAAAAATCTATCTCCCATTGTCCTCTATGAACTGCCCATTGAAAGCTCAGAACTAAATCTGTGTGTAATTATCGTAGCCATTTCACCCTGAATTACTGGTACAAATCCATTTCTATTTATGTATGGAAAAAGTTTTCCAGCCACTAAATTCTAAAAGGCATATATCATGGATACTTATAAAAGGTATATCAGGCTGCAAAATGGGCATGGTTTTTAGCTGGGATTTTGCAGAAGATACAAAAAGAACTTAAAATTATCTTTTGTCACCCTAATCCTCAACAATATCCAAGGATGGGTCATTAAATTGTAACTCAGTGAAGAGAACGAAAGCAATGCAGCTGGGTTTGTGGAGTTTAGAGAAGCTGGAGGAACAGAGAATGAGCACAGATCTCTGCCTGCCTCAACTTGAGATGCTGGTTATTAATCTGTGCTTTGTGCGGCTGCTGGAGAGTAGTCAATTGAACGCTGAGTGTTTCAATGACCAACCGAAGTGCCTATTTTATTTACT